TGTGTGAGATATTTCTTAGAAATTTGTCTGAAATCTGAAAGTTTAGCAATTAGAATGTGAATGAAGAAGATCTGCTGTATAATTTTTTGTAAGAGATGTGAATCAGAGATGTCTTTGTCAGTTCTTGTGTTGTTGTGACACTTCCCTTAGAAATTTGTCTGAAAATCTGAAAGTTTAGCAATTAGAATGTGTTGAGACTTGAGGTGTGAATGAGGAGTTAGTGTGTGGCTTGATCCTTCATGTCCGTTTGTTCTTGTTTCAATTGCTAAGGGAATTGTGAGGTTCTTGTTAGACTTTTCTTAGAAAATTTTCTGAAATCTGAGAATTAAGTAATTACCATGTGAATGAGGAAAGCTGTTGTATCATTGTCTGTAAGAGATGTGAATCAGAGATGTCTTTGTCATTTCTTAATTTCTTGTGTTGTGTGGCACTTATCTTAAAAATTTGTCTGAAAATCTGAAAATTTAGCAATTAGAATGTGTTGAGCTTGAGATGTGAATGAGGAAGGCATGAAATTAATGTGTTCTTGTTTAAACTACTAAGTCCTGTGGGTTCATTAAGCTCACAGTTCCCAAATTTCAGACAAATAGTTGGGAACTCTGAGCTTCTTATTGTAATGTCATTGTCAGTTTTTGTTGTATCTGGTTTTGTCGATGGAGATGTCATTGTCAGTTCTTGTGTTTTGTCTTTAGGATTTGTCTGAAATCTAAAAGATTTGCAATTTTGAGATGTGAATGAGGAAGGCCAGAGATAAGTCTGTGACTATGTACATGTTTTCTATATTCAAATAGGAAAATTTAATCTTGTTCTATCTAAAGATGTTCTTAAGCAACAATACAAAAGAAACTCTCTGCTTTTAGCTACTCTGATTCAACCTGAACAGTTACATGATAAATCCCACAAGATTTCCTACAGAAATTTCTAACACCAATAATGATCTCTTTAGGACTAGCTCCAGGCTCTGGTAAGATATGACACGATAATACGATTCTCCCAACTGTTATCTCCCATACATGGAGATCATAAACAATCTTAACTCCATCGATACGCTTAAGTCCTCTTTCGAGCTTCTCTATGTCCATATCACGCGGTACGCGTTCCATCAGTATTCCAAATATGTTCTTGAGCATTGGTAAAGTAGCAGCAAGAGCAAAAGCAGAGAAAACAAGAGTACAAATCAAATCAACCAAAACCCATTTCGGTTTCACCCAAATGATACCTCCACCGATCATAACACCAAGTGACTGAATCATATCAGCCATTGCGTGAAGATAAGCTCCTTGTATGTTAATGTTCATCTCCTTTGACGATGATTTCTCACCTTTTAAAGGATTCATTTCCTCATCCTCCTCTTCAGCCACCACCTCCTTGTGATGATGTTGATGATGATGATGTTGATGGTGGTGGTGGTGGTGGTGGTGGCTATGGTTATGTCCTAACCAAAGGACCATAACCAAGTTCATGAAAAATCCGAAAGCCGAAATCCCAAACATGATTTCACCATTAACCTCTCTGCTTCTGCTAACTAGTCTTTGAATGGCTTCATGGATTATAACTCCAGAGACAAGCCATATAAGCTGAACAGACAAGAACGCCGCTAAAACTTCAAGCCGTTTAAACCCAAACGAGTTTCTCGGATTAGCTTCCCAGCTCGAGACCTTGATAGCCAACAAAGAGACACCCATACCCGCCACATCCGACAACAAATGCGCAGCATCCGTCATAACCGCAAGACTATTTGCCTTAAAACCTCCCACAATCTGTACAGACATAACAATCAGTTAAAGAAAGATAAGCCTGCTTAGTCTTCTAATCGATTCTTCGCGTTCTTTCGTCTCGGAAACGCATTGTTCTTGTCTCGTAAACGCGCAAGACAGAGGAACCACGCCTAAAATTTCCTCTGTCTTTTGATGGTGATGGTGACTCCATTTCTTCGTCATCATCGGGTTTCAAAATGCAGATTTGCTCCAATTCCATAAGCTGTTTATACGTTACACAATCTTTCATTAGAGAGCTAAAACAACATTTTGATCTTCTTTCTTTTGGATTTTATATGATTAAAGATTTGAATAAAACCCATTTATTGTGTTAAGAAACAAACCTGAGAATCAGATGGAGAGGCAAAACGTATATGAATTCCAGAACTGTCTTCTTCAGAAATCTTGAATTTTTTCATTATTTTTTATGTTATGGTTAGAGATATAAAGACATGAACACAGGCAATTAAGGATGATCCAGCAAATATGGGAGGAGATGTTTATAGATGTGGAATTTTCTTTTTTGTATGGGAATCTAAAATAAGTCGTTGTGGCTTGTGACGGGTGAAGAAGAATAATCTTTTTCTTTAATAAGGAGAATGTAGGAAAAAGAAATGAATATAAAAGATTTTGTTTGGTGATTCTTTTGTTGTGTATGAGATTTGTATAATTGTATTACCATACAAAGGTGGCGTTTGCGTTTCGGGTGAACAAAATGGACTGACTCTTCTTTGTTCAACTAATTTTCTTGGATCTTTAGCGTGTTGTTTTTTTTCGTCTTTTTGTTTTCTTTCATTATATAAATCAATTATGAATTTACACCGAGGAAGCCCCTTTGCCTCATTGGTTGATCAAGGTTAATTAATGCTTCTACACCAAGAGGTCTGAGGTTCGTATCCCAGATAATGCGATTTATTAATAAATTTGAAGATTAATTGAGGCAAATGTGCAGGAGATCTCCAGCGATGTACAATTATAGCCGTTCGCCAAGATTCTACGCAGAGAGAAAAATGTAGTCATGTCGTGGATCATTGAAGGTGTCCGTCAAGAGTATGAAGAAGGAAGTGTCGTCCGTCGTAGATCTAATAAGTGTCGAAAGGAATTGTCCGTTGTAGAATCGTCTATGTAACAGTTCTCATAATTTGCAATAAATAATAAATCCAGACGTAAAAAAAAAAAAATTACACCAAAATTATTTTAAAATTAGGTTAGGACCGTTAGGTTATGTAATTTTTCCATGTTGATATAGTATTTTTTACTTGTTTTTTTTTTGCTAAAGTTTATTTACTTGTTTTCTTTAATGATATATCAAAATACATAGTTATTAGTTAGCACTTAGCATGTAAGAACGAGAATTGGTGATTTTTAACAAAAGAATGGTATTGCATACACGCACATACATGTTAATCAGACATCTACGAGATAGTGATTCTATTAGCTATCAAACTAAATCATGTTTGTTTTGTAGTTGTTGATGGTAACAATATGTTTCAGGTACAAATTGGCAGTTACTAATCCAAAATTTAAATCTTTGAAAATTTAAGTGTTTTCATTTATTAGTCGCTAATTAAGTTTATCAATCTATCACTTAACTACGAAAACGCATAACAGATGATTGTTATTAATGGTTGTTGATCATTATCGACGACTGTTAAACAAACAACAAAACATGTTGTTGATTGCTATTTCCGATCATTACTACTAAATAGTGAATAGTGAATACCATTGACAATCGTTATTACTGATCGCTGTTGCTGGTCGCGGTGGCGTAGTAGAAGCTAGAACTAGTTTCTACCGTTTGGAAATTTGCATATAGGAATCTTCTAGAAGAAAGCCCATATACAAGGCCCATTAGGTTGATTTCACTACGTAATAATAAAGAAATATAACTCTTTTTTTTTTTGGTCAAACAAAGAAATATAACTAAAAATAAAAATGAACCAATCAATCAAAATTGACTAATCTCAGAGCACACCAGTCTTCAGGTCTCTCTCCTCCTCGCGGCTCCAACGCCAAAGCAAAAAGCTTCACGATTGAAAATCTCCGTTCGTTTTCCACCTCTATTAGATCGGAGATGGCGGAGAAGCCGGCGCAAGAGCAGGAGCAGAAGCGAGCGATGGAACCGGGTGTTCTGGACGATATCATTCGTCGTTTGGTTGAGTTTCGGAACACGAGACCTGGATCGGGGAAACAAGTTCATCTCAGTGAAGGTGAAATTCGTCAGCTTTGTGCTGTCTCCAAAGAAATCTTTCTTCAACAACCCAATCTGCTTGAATTGGAAGCTCCCATCAAGATCTGCGGTCAGATTTTTGCTCCCTTTGGTTTTAAAATAGTGGTTTTTTTTTTTTGTAGTGGTGAATTTAGTGCATGTTGTGATAAAGTATCAAGATTTGTTTAGTAGTAATGAATTGAATTCTTAAAAATATGTTTATCTTGAAAATCCATGAGCTCTTTGTAAG